TTCTCTATGCCCCCATCTCGATTTTATTTGGGAACTTGTAGAGTGTAGGTGGCAAAGGAATTAGCTTTTCAATGACTCACCAGAATGATTCACTTTTAGGTGGAGGGAGAAATGGCCCTGAGAAAGCAGTTAAGCAGTGTGCTAAATTCAGATTGCTTAGTCTAGATAGCGAACATACAGTCCCATGAGCACTTTTAGTTCTAACAATTGTCCTTCTTACCATCTTGTGCTTCAGTCTGATGACCTGGTTGTGTCTTATGCTGACAGATTTGTTGAATTTATTTTGGGGATATGGGCTTCAGGAATTCATAAAGATTAACAAACTACAATGTATGCCCAGATTTTAAGTGTTGCTTTTTTATTTTTATTTAAAAATACTCGGTAAATATTGTTTATTAAAAATATGTATTTTCTACTAATATGAAACAGAAATTTACTATATGGAAATATGAATATTAGTGCCTTATTTGAAGTATGTGATTTTGGTTTTTTTCCCCCAATCATCAATATTTGTCTGATTTTGATGAAAGAGATTGTTTGCCTGTTTTTCCACTTTAGTAGCTTATAAGGCTTCCTCCCTCACTTGTATAGTATAATGCAAATTACTAATTTTGATTTGGGCTATGCGAGGGGTTAGGATTAGGGTTAGGTCATGTGATCACCTTTTGTGACTTCTGGACAAGCAAAGTCAATGGGAAAACCAGATTCACTTAACAACAGTGTTACTAATTTAACAACTGGAGTGGTTCGCTTAACAAATGTGACAAGAAAAATGGTAAAATGGGACAAACTCATTTAATAACTTTTTCATTTAGCAACATAAATTTTGGATTCAATTGTAGTTGTAACTTGAGGACTACCTATATAAGCAAATTTGATGAACTAAAGTTATCTCTTTCTGTTTAAATCCAGCCAAAATCAGTATACCTGGATTTCGTTTCTTTCATTATGTCAATTTTTCTGCAAATTATTTTAAAAGCTCTTAATTTTTGATTAATCAATACATAATATTATATACAGCTAACCTTAGTTCATGCTTTTTTTCTGTATAGCACTTAGTAATATATAGTATCATTCATAACACAGCATTTATGCATTTTCCCCAAATATACACTGCTTTGTATAAGTCACGGGCAATAGAAATTACAGTAGCCAATTTCATATTGTACATTCATACCATTTTGTTCTAAAATAAATCTTTTGCAAATGTCAAAATATGAGGAAATATGAAAAATGTTTACTAGAAATTGCCAATGGTGGACTGCTTCTCATTTTGGTATGGAATGCTGCTGATTGGAGATGAAATGCATTTAATAACAGATCTGAGATTTATTCAATGTACAGGTAGTTAGATAACCAATAAGATTCAGTTTCATTGAACAATTAAAAATTTTAAAAATGGTTTATAAACCTTTTATATTGATTATTTAGCTATTATTGTTTAGTTTTATCTTCTATTTGTAACTTTTTTTCTATGTTTTAAATGGAATTCTGACTAATACTGTAAGTGGATGGATGGATGGATGGATGGATGGATGGATGGATGGATGGATGGATGGACGGACTAAAAATAGGGAATGGCTGGCAAGATCACTGCCCATGTAGCATTTTACAGAATATTAATTATATTAATATTAATGGCTGTAGATTTCCCACGTGGGGACAGGAGCGGTCCTGGTGAAAGGGAAGCCTTGCAGGTTGTGATGCCAGGCCAGCAAGCAGGTCATTGAGATCCTGGTATAGGCATGGTGCTGATTTACAACTTGTGGCAGCTATCCAGGCCGGAATGTGGTCAGCCTTAGATCTGACCCGCATGGCTACTGTGGAGGCAGCATGGGGGCACCCCGCTGCCTCGGCCCCTGGATGCTTACACAGGAGGCGGAAAGCACTGCATCTTGGATGAAAGGGAAGCACTCAGAATGAAGTCAGCCTGTGAGGCAAGACAGTCCCCAGGATGCAAGGCCCTATACACTCGCTGCCTCCTGTGTGCATGCTGTGGGGGTGGGGGGCAGTCCCTTGCTGGCTCTAGGGTGACCCCGTGGATTTCAGGTTGACCACATTCTGGTATGGATGGGCGCCACCAGGTTGTAGAACAGCACCCGGTCAGCTGGACCAGGCCGAGGCACCACAGGCCACCCCTTCACTGTTTCAAGGGCAGCCCTGCAGGCCAGATTTAAGCACAATGCAGGCCGAATCTGGCCCATAGGCCTTGTGTCTGACGTGTCTGCTTTAAAGCCTAGTCAGATTTCCAATGAAAAACAATAGCAAGATTTAGTTTAGCTGGCAGTGCTTCCTTGCATATGTTATTCCAAATAATTTTGACCAACAGATAAATGAAGCATGCGTCTGTCTGTCTGTCATTAGAATTAAGACATTCCTCATCCCAAATATCTAGTGTGTTTTCCCTGGTGACATTCTGCAGATAAAAATATGAGTTTATTAAAGTGAAAAGTACCAAGAATAAGAGACTTGTGTGCCAAAGAAGACATCATTTTTCTTTTTAAAATCATCACTTCTTAATCCAGAAATATTGGCACTATTTTTAAATTTTTTGCAATAGATTGTCTCTTGCTCAAAAATCATGCTTCCTTTTATAGTGTCCATATGGTGTTATTTTTACTGCTTTCAGCCTAGAGCTATTTCCTGTTTCCAATTATTTAGTTACACTCTAAAGCGGCTCTTTCCTTCTTGGCTTCCTCACCAGGTTTACTAAGCCATTATTGTCATTTTAGTGAGTCGACGCCAGGGTTGAGGTTTTAATGGGCTGTGAGCAAGAAGTTCAGCTATTTCCTCTGCCTATGAGGCCATGATGTCATAAGCTGCTATGAGGCTCTTTATCATATGTTGCTGTTACCGTGGACTGTGTGGAAAGAATGTAAACAGTGCTTTCCAGATGTTCCCAGGGAATCTGCAGGTCCATAAATGGACCATTTTGTGGAAGAATATTATTTTTAATGAGAGGAAAGATGAATCAGGCTGTACAAAATCCAGCGTATAGCTTTGACAATATCAAATGTTAAAGACTTTTGTTCATGTCCATTTGTCATGTCATGACTCCAGGTTTCTATAAGTACTTCCCCAAATGTCCTGCCCATCTCCTGGCAAAGAAATGTGTCAGGTTAGAAATGCAGAAAGTTATATTTTCTCTGGGGAAATTAATAAACATTGAAAGGCCCTAGATCTTTTTCTTTTCAGCTTCACGTCAACATTCTTGAGGCTGGAGACATAATCTTCAGAATCTTTTCGTGTTAGATCAAGATTATGTCCTACATATTGTAACTCAAGTAGTCTTTTCATCTCTCATTTGTATATAGGCCTTGCATAGACAGCTGGGACTAATTATTTCTTCTCATATACATGTCTTGTCATGCAGGACTGGTGGCTTCAGTTTGATGGCTAAATTTAGGCAACATAATATTTTGACTTGATGAAGAAGTGTAAATCTTATTTTTAACATTTTTAGTTTTTCTTTTTTTAAGCAAAGGAGTTGTTAATTATGAAAGAATTGTCTGAGTTGTACACAGTTTATATGATTGTACACAACACATGTAGTCAAGTTAAGATAAATGGGTTAAATGCCTTACGGGGCGTTTAAGTTGTAACTTGCAAATTGACTGAGATCGCAACCTCAGTCTTCAGCAGCAAAACAATCCATTTGGAGAAGTGATCATTTAATTTTTTTTATTGTAAGCAAGTGGGCCTTTCTGGAAGTAAATTGCTCCTTTTTTATCGTTAATTCCTCTCCAGTTCCCCTCTCCTATCTTCCCAAATGGTCAATAATCATGCCCCTGAACTTCTGGTGATATTATCACATCAGTGGAAATTATTCGGTAGCCTCTAGATCAGGGATGTTAAACTCGATTTCATTGAGGGTTGCATCAGGGTTGTGTTTGACTTCAGAGGGCCGGGATGGTGGTGGTCATGGTGGACGTGGCTGAGGAGGGCATGTTCATGGTGGGTGTTTGACACAGACAGAAGACACATTTTTCCTTCTTTCTTTCCACAGTCCTTTACTATAACCATTTTCCTATCTCTTCTACCAGATATTACTGACAAACATTTATTACTTATTGTTCATATGCCACTAAACTTTTTATACCCCTTTGTTTAATAGTAAATTTCTTCTTCAGGCAGAAAAGCTATTATTCAACTAATAATAAAATAGCATAAATAACTTGATAATACAAGATCTAACAGCAGAGGTAAATTCCTAGGATAGTAAATAGAAATGACTGTCAATTATAGATTGTTGATTGTAGATTAAATGGACCTACAGTATGTAAAATCTGTCATTAAACTGTAGTATTAACATAGGATGTTGCTTGTTTTCTATCCAGATCAGGCACTTACTTGAGGCCACATAATTATAATCCAGTCCAATCCAGGCCTCCTGCAGCACTCTGCCAGCTGAAAACGGGTTGCCTGTTTTCAACCGGCAGAGTGCTGCTGGAGGCTGGAGAGGTCAAAAATGGTCCGCAGGCCAGTCTTTTGATGTTTTCAGGCCACTTCATGGGCCAAATTTAAGTACCCTCCAGGCCGGATCTGGCCCGTGGGCCTTGAATCTGACACCCCTGCTCTAGATAGACAAGGAAGTGAACTAAACCATCAAAAAATTTGTCCAAGCTGGTAGAGAGCTGTTGGTGGCTTTCTTGCACCTTGTATAGTAGTGAACTAACTAACTATTGAGCAGTTAACAGGTCTGCTTTTGGGCTTATTAAATGAGTGTGGAGAAGCAGAGGGAAAAAATAGCATCTCTCTCCATTCTCGCTTTCGCCTAACCTTCTCATCAGACCTGACTGGCGATAGACGTAATTTTTAAAAAAATATGGTTGTTTGCTTATTCAAGAGAACAAAAAAGTGCTTTAGCACTCTGGTAAAAAATGAATAATTATGATGTTGGAACTATTAATAGAAATATTGGCAGTGCTGTGAACGCTGAATCATGAAATGTTCCACCTGTTATATAATGTTTATGGATTTTTGGGGGGTATGTTTTTCAGGTTTGACATCTACAGAAAGGTGCCAAAGGACCTTACCCAGCCAACCTTTACAGGAGCAATTAGTAAGTACCTGTGTCTGTATGTGTTTATTTTGCCTTTGCAGGATTCATTGCAGGATTCAAGCTTTTTCTGATTGTTTATTTAAAACCGTGAGCAATAGTATGATGTACTGTATCTTCTTAAGCATAATTTGAAGCAGTCTTGTGGGCCTCCAGATTGCATAATGGCCTTTAAAGTGAGATTTTGCTGAATCTTCCCACAAGGGTAATATTTGGCATATTTTTTTCCTCCAATTTGGATATAGGGTGAAACGAAGTTCAGATTGACGTGCGCATCACCCCCGGCCTCTGTTTCGTTATTAGAGCCTTCTGGAAAGCCCTCTGCAAACAATAATAGAGCTCCGGATCGATCCAGAGTCTGTTATTAGTTGCAGAGGGCTTTCCAGAAGGCTCTGATTGTGAAACGGAAGCCAGGGGATGCCACATGTGTCAATCCGGAGCCCGTTTCTCAGCTGTAGATGTCTTTCCAGAAGGCTCTGATGGCAAAACGGAGGCTGGGGGTGACACGTGCAAGTGGTGGCAAGTAGCCGCAGAAGAATTAGGCCAGCAGCAGGCTCTGCTGGGTGGGGCAAGTGGTGCCACCCCAGCAAGGAGAGTCAGTAATTAGACCTCCCCCCCAAAAAGAAGCCACAGCCATTTTTTCAGGGGTCAAAAGTAAATAAGACCAGGTCTTGCTTTCGGGGAAATACGGTAAGATTTCTCAAATTACACCATTCAGGGAATTGTGATGGTATAAACTGTGGGGACTGCTGTTGCTAAGTGATGTGGTTGCATTTTACAACTGTGTCACTTAGCCACTGAAATTCTTGTCCCTATTTCTGCTGTAAAGGAAGAATTACTTGTACTTTAAAAGTTATGAAGGATTTTATATAAGTTGCAACCCCTTGAATGCACGAGTATTCAAAAAGATGAATTCATTCATGCTCCAGATAAGAGGTGCATTACCTGCTATTGATTATGTGCCATCATTGTTTTCAATTTCTAGTTACTACATAGATAGATCTTCCACACTACATAGATAGAACTGTCCCTAACTTAGTTTTTCACATCTACCAACATTGCACCCATTTCTACTGTGATTGAATCCATTCACTTTGCTCTTTTTCCTCTCTTTCCATCTTACCCAGCATTAGAGCTTTTTCCAGAGAGCTAGGTTTGTCATACTTTGTCTGAAGTAGGATAATTTAAGCCTAGTCATTTGTACCTTGAGTGAAAGTTCTGGATTGATTTGATCCATTTGGGGGGGGGGGGGTTGTCTGTCTGTCTGACTCCTGAATTATCCGTAGTCTTCTCTAATATCGAAGTTCAAAAGTATCAATGCTCTTCCTATCCTGCTTCATCAAGGTCCTTCTTTCACCTCTGAAGTAAGCCATGATAGGGAATATCATGGCTTGCACAATTTTTGTACGTATAGACACATCTCAGCATTCAATTATCTTTTTCAAGGCCTTCGTGGCTGCTCTACCAAGTGTCAAACTACAGTGAACTATTTCTTGACTGCTTGTTCCTTTGCAGTTCATGGTTGATCCTAAAAGGCAGAAGCTATCCATCACTTTTATATCTTCATTGTCAATTCTAAGGCTGGTTGTTCTATCTATTGTCATTAAATGTATGGCATTAAATGTATCTCTCTATTCAATATTTGAAGCCTTAGCAATCTACATTTTAATTGTCCTACCCTGTCCTTAAAAAAATTCCTTCTTACTGTCTTTTAGTAGAACATATATTATTTGTATACAGGTGCACTGCATTTCATTGAGTAAGGCTACTCGGTATAGTATGTCTATTATATTGACATTGTCTACTCTCTTTGCTGGGCAGCAGATCATTCAAGGTTTCACAGAAAAGTCTTGGCTTACGTGTATCAATGAATTATAGCTACATTCCTTTGTCATCATTTGTCTGAAGATGTGGAGCTATTCATTAAAAATGTGATCTAAATCTACAGTTCTTGGCTTGAACAAAATTTACATAACCTTTCAAATGATTCTAAATACTTTATTAAATATCCTTTCTAAAAATAAGGTGCATTAAATCAGTTGATGTCAGATGACGGATGTATTCTTGGCTTTGGATTGTACTGTAAAGTGCCTAGCAATAGCTGTTCCAAACATACTATGTATCATTGTGCCGAACTGCCCATGTTTGGATAAGGCTACAGTGACATATGCTGTGGCATATGATAGCTAACATCCCAGTGGCACAAGCTAAATGACATATTGACAGGAAAGCACTCCAGACAGCTGCTCTGTCAATCCCTGGCTCTTCTGGATGAACTGTATATATGCATGACAACATTGTGCAAAAATATTGTAAAGCTTTGAGGACGGAGGATTCTAGATACAAATGGAAAAAGTGCGTTTTGTGAAGTTAAGAGTCTATGGTTTATGTTCATAATGGATCTTCAAGACACTTTTATAATAAAGCTAATTGGATCAATTTACTTTTAAAAATAGATAATTTATTGTAAAACTTGGTATTACTTTAAGTGCCCAAACTCTTCTGTGCATTGGAGCAGTCTTTATTTAAGCTTCTCTTCCTTTATTTTTTTGGGTGGAGTATAGAATCAGGGTCTCCAAGTTCCATTATAGTTAATTGGGTTAGATGGCATCAGAAACCATGTCCAGAAAATGAATTCAGGGATTCTGTTATTGATATAATGCTTCTTGACATCCAAATCATGCAATATGCTATTAACTAGCATACTTTTGTCTTCATAATAAAGTATCATACATATATTTTGCATGGATTTCCTTTCTTCCTATTACAGCTCTCAAAGGGTCACCACCTCTAATATACACTACATAAATATGACAAAATTAATACAAAATTAATACAAAATGCATATACCCACATATATTATATGACTCAGAGAAACAACACAGTCTATTTTGGATGTATACAAGTATGTGGCGAGAAAAACAAATCTTGTGAGTTAGTTGTTATATACAGGATAAACATTATACCCTTGGAATCCCTGATTCCCACTAAAACTGACTGTCATGACTTTTTAACTGGGCAAAAAGAATGCATCATAGGGCAACTGTTTTTAAACCAAGGTACTTCAGATGGGCTAAGTTACAGAGTGTTTCCAAAATCTGGAACACAAGACTCCTGAAGGAATGAAATTTGGAAATTTATGCCTGTTTGAGTAGTACTGGCTGCTGCTGCAGTTATGTGGTCTTCATTTTCAATGTTCTGTGGCAGTGTCTCAGTCAGACTTGCAATGTCTCATTCCATTACAGCAGCTGCCATTTACCTGGCTGCTGGAAAGAAAAAGGAAAGGAAGGAGGGGGAACCCTCATGCACTCTTTCTGGCCCATGCTACCCCCTGCACATGCTTTCCCAACTCACGCAGCACTCCTTGCGCACTTCTACAAACCCTCCCTGATCTGCACTGCCCCTGCATGCCTTCTCTGACCTGTGCAGCACCTCATGTGCAACCCACACATCCTTCTCTTCCATGTGTCTTCCCTCACCGATGTGTTACCTCTTAGGCTCACCCTTCCTGATCCACGCTGCCACCCTCCCATGCGCTGTCCATATAAGACACCTCTTGTATGCTTTTAAGCATTCCCAGACACTCTTCCAACCCATGCCACTCCCCCACAGGCCATTCCTGAATGGCATGGCATCTCGGCAACCCCACATACGTTTCTTGATCTGTGTGCCATCCTGCGCCCCCTACCCAAATTGCATAGCACCTCTTATGCATCTACAGGTACCCTTCCCAAGTGTTATGACACCTCTCATGCACCTCATGTACTATTTTTCACCTACACCCCAGAAACCTCCCTCACTCTCTCCCTACCTAGCAGCAGCCATTTACCTTCCTGCTGGATTTGCAACTTACTGCTGGCTTCCCCAATGACTTCCTTTCTATAAACAAAGTAAATGGGGAAGCTGGCAGGTGTTTGAAGGAGGAGGAAGGAAGATAATGACAAAATGAAAGGGAGGGAGGGAGGGAGGGAGGGAGG